GAAATAAATTAAAACCAACCTTTGGGCCTTGGCTTTTGGGGGAAAAATTTTGGGGGGGGGAAATTTTTTTGTTTTGAACCGGCGGGCCCAAAAAAAGGGTTGGGCCCCAAGTGGGTTTGTTGTTTTTAGGGGGCCCCCCCCCCCCCAAAACCCCCCCCCCGGGGAAACCCCTTTCCAAAAAAAAAAGGGAAAAAGTTTTCCCTTTTCCCCTTTCCCCCCGGCTTAAAACCAAAATTTAGGGGCCCCAAAAACCTTCCAATTGGCCCCCGAAGGGGACGGGGGGGTAGGCCCCCCCCCCCCCCCCCCCCCACCGCCTCCTTCCGATTATTCCTACACGTCTCCCTGCGTGGCGGTTTCTGCTGCCACCTCCTTGAGGATCTTGTCCGACTCTTCGTCAGTGAGGATCTTGTGTACGATCTGAACAAGTACCGTTCGTTCGCCAGAAAAGCAAGGGTGGGGAAGGGGTGTGCCCATGTTAAGCATGTATTTTATTTGGTAGACCGTTGACCACGCGTCCTCGAGAGGACGGAGCGTGGTTTCCACCGGACCAGGTACATGGGGGAGGGGGGGGGGGGTTCACTAGGAGGGGCGATCACGTTGGGAAAGGGGGGGTGGGAGAGAAAGGTGTTCGCCGGTACACAAGAAGCATATCACGTTATTTGACCTACAAAACGGCAGGTCTACTGCGTTCACCCTGAATAAAGGGAGAACGCATATGTGTGTAGCGGCGTGCGTCTCTCGCGTGCGATTCAAGACTTGTTCATTTGTCGCGATGCCACGTCCGAGAGAAATGCCAGCCTTTATCCTTTCTGCTTCAACACAACCTCTTTATCGGCTCCTTTACGCCCCCAAATCCAATATCACGATCACGGGGTGCAAGGACCGCCCGTGGCCCCCTATCCCGGGGTCCCAGGAATTTTTATGCACCACGGCGCCCCCGTGCAGTTTCAGTTGCCAATCTGCACAGCGTGAACAAAATATCCCACAAGAACAACGAAAAAAACTCGCCTTTCCGTTGACGCGTGTGATGGTGGTAAACTCCATCTTCTCCGGGGACGGGGTTGTGCTGTCCATGGTCTTGTTGAGCACCTTCACGGCCAGCTTGAGGCACTCGTCCACGCTCGACTCCTCCACGTAGTCGGTCTTGAGCAACGCCTTGCCGGCCTGTTGTTGGTTTCGAAGGAGACGGTTCGATGAGAACTAAAAAGCGACCAGAAAAGAAACCGACAATTGACGGTTACATATTTCAATGGAAATTTTTCTTTTCGCTTCAGGCAAAACTTGGCAGCATAAACTGCACTTGTTGAAACGCCGATCTCGACCTACTTGCCGGCTTCGTCTTTAAATGCCGCCCCCGACCACACAAAACAACACGAAGCGAGACACGAGATCGCGAAACAACAAAAAACGGTTGTGGGAAATAATTGGAACCAACAGAGAGGCTGGAGAGCACGGTAAAACCTAACACCAGGTATCTGCGAACCCATTGTGCCGGTTGGTTTTAAAACTCCCGAAGACAACGTCATGGTGGAAGTGGATCAGCTTCGTAGACCATTGAAAAGTAGGATTATCCACTCGATTCGAGTCGCTCAGCGCTTCACCCTCCGGACATACCGTCCACCATTACATGGTGTTGCGCATTCAGCCGCATGACAACAAACGTTCGAAACAAAACGTGAGGAGTGTCTCAATTATTCCTTGGACACCGCCACCTCCACGACAACGCCAAACCAAACTCTAGCGCGTTCCTTACCACCCTACGCATCCAACTACAAGCGGAGGATGCAAACCAAAACTGTAGCGCATTGCTCCACCGCTCCGCTACAAGCGGAGAGTTTACCACGAAGATTCTAGACAGAGAGAGAGTAAGGAAGACAAATCGACCCTCCTCGCCTGGTTGTTGGCCCCGATGGCCGTTGCCTTCCAACCCCCGTAGTTGCCACTCGGGTCGCTGTGGTAGAGCTGGAACCCGTGGTGCTCGTCCCATCCCGTAAAGAGGAAGGAGACGCCGAACGGCCGCAGTCCCCCGAATTGTGTGTAAGCCTGGATAAAGAAGACACCATGCCGGTGCGGGGGGGGGGGGGGGGGTTGACAAATTAGCGAATTCAATTCTGTGCGTTTGCTCTAGTCTTGAGGCAACTCTGCGGAAGAAGGAGGAAGCCTATTCCTCTAGCACTTTCTTGTTGCTATCAACGGCCGCGTTCAACCTTTGAGTGCTCTTCTGGCTTCTGCTGAAAGCGGCAATTCCACGAAGCAGCAGCAGCAGCAGCCCTCTGCCGCACAACGTCGCAGCTTCAACGAAAATTCACCACCAGACCGCCGCTTGGCAAGTCTGGTGCAGTAGACGAAAGCGCACATGGAAAAAACCAAGGGAAAACGCACGTACTGTCGTATGCGCAACAGCCAACCACGACTACGACGACTCCGCCACGACTTAAATCGACCCATGAACATCTCCCTCCGAGAAGTTCTAGACCCCCCTCGACACAGGATGCCTCACGGGGCTTCGCGCTTGGTGATGTGAGAGTCTGGGGTGGTGAAAACCCGGCGTGCTCCGTCCCGGCTTCGTAGGATGCGAGGTCAATGGTCTAACGACTACGGCATGCACGACTATGAGTACACCCACCCCCTCGCCACAGGATGCACAAATGAACAACCAGGCTGACTACAGCCGGTCTGTCCGTCCAAACGACTCCAGATGAGCACGCGTAACCGCTGCAGCGCTTGCGTCGTCATCCAGACCAACACGGGCCACTTCACCGCAAAAAAAATCACTTACGGGTGCTACACCCTCAGCTCCGGTCCACGCACACACACACACACACCAGCTCGTGGCCTTTGGAAGCATCTTGTGTTCGTGTTTTCAACCGCACTGAGACTGGCGTCTTTTCGTTGGCCAGAACCGGTTAGCGCGGTCGATGCTAACAACAAACACACCCACACACCTGCTTGTAGTTGCAGACCTCCTTGACCAACTGCTCCAACGGCATCTGCTCCCCATATTGGTAAAGGTACCGCTGTGCCGACACCCTTGCGTGGTTGACGAGGAGGTTCGCATCCGCCGTGAGGCCCGCTACCACGCAAGAGGCGTTTTCGTACAGCCTGGGTGATGGGGGCACCGTAAAATACCGGGAGGGGGGGGGGGGGTTACCCACGATCACGTAGGTTCGAAAAACATCGTCATTGCTGCTCATGTTGAATAATTCAATAATTCAATCACAGGCCAAGCTTTTAACCGGTACGGCGCAGAAGCGTCCTTTCGTCATGATACTGGCAAGCTCCAACGTTTTTTTTGTTGATGCTCACCGGTACGTCTTCTCTGATGTTTTGGAGGGCGCGAGGAGCTTGGACACGACCTTCCGCTCCGCCGCCATGATGATGCCATCCTTCGCCAAGATACCCACGCACGTTCCGGCGTTGTTGATCGCCTCTATCGCATACTCAACCTTTGGGAGGAGCGTACCGGAGACGGGGGCAGGGAGAAAAAATTCAGAGAGGGGGGGGGGGTTCCCTTCGAGAGCAAGGGGTGTTGGTTTTGATGTATGTTAGTGGCCTCCAGTGGGCAACCAATGATCGGCCCGGTGGGGTTGGGGGGGCGGGGGTCGAGACAAGATACGCTGTAACAGCGGCGAACGGGCGATATAAGGGGGAGAGACGTGGGGGGGCTGGAGAAGGAAAGGGAACCTTAATTTTCCTTCACCTAGGCTAGCAGATTCCTTTGTTACAATCCTCATGATGCTATCTACTTCGTACAATTGATGCGCCTTGACGACCCGTCATGGAGGTGGATGAGACAGTTGGAAACACAACGTTTTGGACCAAAACGGGTTGCGATTGCCAAGGGAGTCAGAGATGCATGGGTGCACTGAACGAATCGTTTTGAAGCACCGCCTGTGGAAGGACACGACCCACATCCCTGAATTGCATGTCGACCTTCTCCAAAGGAGGAGGATCTGGGCCACTGCTGTAGGCCTGAAGCAACGGGACTATCGTAGGTGACACGACGTAAGATATCACACCCCCTGGACCGATTTTCAAAGCTCGATTACTCCACGACGAAGAGAATTGCATAAACCACACGATGAGAGCTTTCGGAAAGATCCTGGCGAGACGGCTACAAAGCTGCCATTCTCGGCACCGCTAGTCTTTCTGCTGTAGGAGCAAATCAAGCGTTGAAAATGGGTCTAGATGGTGTGATATCTTACGTTTCCTACGGTGGTCGGTAGAGGTATTGGAAGTTGCAACATTGTTAGATAGCAGTCGGTGGAACAACCACGACAGACCCAAGCACTCCACGCGTGCGTTTTGCATAGACACAGCAGCTGCTGTCGGTGGACTCACCTGATGCAATCTCCCCTCGGGGGAGAAGGTGGTGGTGCTGCTGTCGTACCGTCGAGCCATGACTTACTGCTCACGGTAACCAACTGTCTTTCCAGCTAGTGTCAAATATTCCCAGCTGTATCTGCTTTGAAGGAACGGAACAAAGGAGAAGGAGGTCAGAATATATGAGAGGGGAGTTAAACACGTGAGATAGGTAAGGGGCACGATAACAGCAGTTAGTTGTCGCCAGGCTCGAGAGGTTGGCCATCAACAGCAGGGGAAGTCGGTAGACAGATACGGGAGAGCGCGGAGCTGTGGGCCAAATGCAATTGTGACCTGGGTTGACCCATGCCCGTTTTCAGTCCTGCAAACGACTCATCCTTTCATGTCGCATTCACTTCCATGGTTTCGCAATGTTGTCCTCGTTAACCTTGACCCTTGCTCTTGCCCACGCCAACGCTGGCTGCTTGTTGTGCAGTGTGGAGCCAACATCAAGAGATCAAGAGGGGTGTTTTCTGTCGAGGACAGCAGCACAAGAGTTCTGCCAAAATCAATCTCCGAACGGTGAGGAGGCACGACGTTTCAATGCGTTGACCAGGCGTCCTCTGCAAGAACAACTTGTCACCTATTGTCGTGTACCCGTACCTGTCGCGGTGGTAGTCGGGTCGTGCAGCAGTGCAGTGCAACCGCAAGCAACCCACGCACGATCATCGATGTTCGGCGACGGGGGCGCCGTGAGACAAGATTGCACCGTACGCAGGGGTGGGTACAGCCGATCTGCGTCACACGTATCCGTTTAATTCCGCCGCATGTCGTGGCAGATGGGGCATGTTGGCATGTTCTAATGCATCCCTGTGACTACCGACCCACCCCACACACGCTGGAGCTATGGGCTGGAAAAGATCGATGGAGATTTCGAGGTGGCTGATTTTTGCTGTCATCAGCGCTTCCAGCATCGCCAGGTGAGCTGCGGTTTGGGCAGCAGCCGCACCCAAACCTGCTGTGCATGTTTCCTGCTGTGGGCTCCGTACATGGTGATTCTCGACTCTCCCTGAGGACCCGATTTGAGGCTACATACAGTAGTTTGGAATGCCCGTGTTTCTTGACTCCCTCACATGGAACTTCAGCTAAACACTCTCTTGACGCAGTGCTTCGTTAGTTTGCTGCACCAGAAACCCAATTTTCTGTCTAGACGTCGCCCGAAATGCAACGGGCGTTGTGGAGGGCGTAACCCGGCACAGCAGCGTACATTATTGTACCGGTGTAGACAGGAAGACGAGCTTGCGTGCATCTCTACGAATCGCTAGATAATATCCCGTTCGTTTGCTGTGCCCTCAGTCTGCCAGCCTACTCTCTTCCTCGTGTTCCTATCGATGCGTGCGTTATCACTCTCAGCGGGGAGCAACCCCCCGCTTCTCCGCCTTCCCAGCACGGGATTCGCATCGACAGCCTAGCAAGGCCACCCCCGTCACCCGATGCCGCCGCGGCAACATTAACAACCAGTTCCTCGCCAGCGCCGATATCGCCATCGCCATGGTCTTCTCCACCACGACAGCAACGGCACTCGACGGTGCTATCAACACGAGGAGACGGCTGCGCTGGCTCCGCCAGCGCGCCAGCTGCTGCTTTTCTCGGGCATTCTTCTCCCGCCGCAGCCGCAGCAGCGGCTGCAGCGAGCGTAGCGTCGGCTACCGCCCGGGTACCAGTGCTGCGACAGCTGCCATCGAAGGCCGCGAACGTAACCCGGACCCTGTTGCCGCTGGCGCCCTTCGTCATCGAAGTCCCGGCGCTTGCGGCGCACGCCCGCGCCGCGTGGCCGTGGGCGCGCTCCGCGATGACCGCCGCCGTCGCCTCCGCATTCTCCCGCCGTCCGTTCGCTTTCGTTCTTTCCCCCACCCAACCCCGACCCTACCGGCGATGGCATCAGCATCAGCAGCAGCAGCAGCAGCAGCAGCCAAGAGCGATAGCGAGAATACGGGAGGAGCGAGAAGAACAACAAGCCTGCTGTGGACCTTCTCCGCTGGGCAGGCGCGTTTTTTTTAGCGATAGCGGTGGTGGTGGCGGTTCCGGATCCGACGGCGGTAGTAGCACGAACGACCGGAGCGCTCTTGATCCGAATAGTCGGTCTCCCTCTTGCTGCCGTGACGTCGACGTCGCGACGCCATCCTTAACACGACGTGGGGCAATAGAGGAAACGCTTGTCTCCATGGCGCGGTGGTGGGCAGTGGCAGCGGCGGCATCGTCGGGGGCGTTCGCGGATACTGACGTGGGGGCAACAGGGGTTGGGGACCAGCTCAGTTCGAAGGCGCTCACGAAGGAATCCTACGACGGTTTCGCCGAGGGGTACGATAACCTGGACGGCGGTTGGGCGGCATCGGCCATCGGACTGGAGGCGAGTTAGACCGCGCTTGAACGTGTGCCCTTCTTGGTTTTTTTTTTCTCTCTTTTTGAGCGCAACAATCTTGGTTTCTTCTTCTACGCGGCGAACGCACACTGGTGCACACCACCTTATTTATAGCATCGTGGAGTTTCTCTAACGGTGTGACCAGTATGTACCAATCGACACCAATCATGTGAGCTGTTGGTTGGCGATGTCCTGGATATCTGCGTTTGTTTCACCCGAACCGCTCATCGGTGCCGCCCAAGTAACCGGTTACCCACCGTACCCGTTCATCGAGAGCAGTACGGCAGTCGGAGGGCAGTTCACGACGTGCTCGTTCTTCGTGAGGGAAACCTTGCACGTTCCTCAACTTGCTGCCGTCTGGATGTACTTCCCGCAGGAGCTACGATCACAGTTGCTAGCAGGCGCCACCGGGCGGGTGCTAGAGGTCGGGGTGGGTACGGGACTCAACCTGCGGCATTACCGGCGTGATCTCGTCTCTGGCATCGAGGCGGTGGACCTAAGTCCGGGCATGCTGAGCCAGGTTTGATTCCGTCCTTGTTGACCTAGGTCTTGCGTTGATTTTCTCTGGGGCGTCTCTGATTGCTTGTCCTTGTTGAGCTAGGTACTCAAGATTTGTGTGTTGGTTTTCTCTCGAATGTCTTTGATTCTGTCCTTGTTGAGCTAGGTCCGCAGACATGTGTTCGTTTGCTCTCGATCATTTGTAACTGTCCGAGTTTGTGTACACCGAGGGGGTTCCGTCTCTCAAGTCCTTCTCGTTTTTGCTCCAAGACAAACGCCGAATGTGTACGATACGTGGCACACCTGACGGTGGGCAAAGGCTTAAACCGCAAACAAGTACCATGCACGGAAGTTGCGCATGGTCACCACGCGATATGTGCACGGTTTGTGAGGCAGTCGATTGGCTGCCTCAGCCTGCAAGAATGAATGCTCATCCAACAGCAGGCTGAATGATTCGACCATTGGCCACACGCGGTTCTGCTGTGGACCAAAATGCCTTCCTGCTCAAGATTGACCAAAGATACTCCCACATAAGACAACAACCCCACAGCAGTACCTCACCCGGTGGCACAGGTTAACATGAGGAGCCCACAACACAGAAAACTACTCTCAAGATCCACGTGCTCGGGTGCAAGAAGGTACCATATACCCCCACAGAAAACACACGCAGGGAGGGGGGGTGCTTTCTTGCGTCACGTACGTTATGTAGTGACACAAGGATGCCTTTCGAGGATGGAGTTTTGTGTCAATGAACACGATACGAAGACGCAGCAGATGCTGTGGCATTATCAGGACGCACAGTTCGACGATGAACACAAGACTGTTACCAGCGTCCACGTGTATTTTGGCATTTTGCGGGCACGAGAGCTCGCTCTTGTTCTCACATCGGCCTAACACGACCGTCCTCAACAATTGGCGGTGCTACGCGATGACCCACGCAGTTTTGACATTTTGCCGAACAAGAGCTCGTGCTTGTCATCACAACACGAGCTAACACGACCGTTCGCAACAATCGGCGGTGCTTTCGCGATGACACGGGCAGGCATCGTCCAGGAGCGAGTCGCTGGGCATGGAACGGCTCGTCAAGCTGTCGGTGATGGACGCCGAGCACCTCGGTTTTCCATCAGAGGCGTTCGACACGGTCGTGGACACCTTTTCTCTCTGCGTTTTTTCAGACCCGGTGCGTGCAGCAGTAGCTTATGTGTTTGTTTGTTTTCTTGACACCACAGACCGTATCGTGCCAATCCCGGGAACAGGAGGGAATCGACAAACTCGTTTACGGACTGTAGAGAACGATGGTTGATGGTCGGGTCCATCGGAACACGGTTTGCTTCCTACGCTAATCTCTCTTTCGAGTATATATATTTTTCTTCGCGTTGCGGTGTGGTAGGTTGTAGAAGACCGTCCTCGTTGGTTCTCTGCGAGAATGTAATAGCATTCTATGCCGATAGACTCTCTGTCGTTGTGTCCGGGACCTTCTTTTTCTTGGAGCGATTGTATTCGAAACGATTCGGAGGAATGGAAGAGTACGATGTGCCATTGCCGTTTAAACGTTGTGCACTTGGAACTACGCCCGTAGTTTGGAAGCAGATTGTTTTATTGGGCTCGTTTCTCCCAGTACACGTCCACTCTTTGGTAGAAACTGGGTGCCTTGCGTTATAAGGAGGTAATCTAATCGGCGGTGTATGTACACGGTCACGGGGAGGTCAGGTGTATGTAAAGACACTGCGTAGATTCCTCCGGCGAGCCGCTCTCTCTCTCTGCACACCGCTGCAGCCAGGGGTGTTGCCGTAAGGTGTACCACGTGCTGCTCATTCTCGAACCAGCGTCACGTCGTGTTGGTGCTCGCTTCTCGGACCAGCCTTGCATAGTGGTCGTTCATCGTGTTGGTTGGTTGGCGCTACTAGCTTTTCGGAAGATCCTCGCATCGTGCGGTTGTGTCGGTGCTTGTGTCGTTTCGGCTCTTCTTGCCTTGGTCCCTACGTTTTATCCTCGGCGGAGCGTGTGTAATTGTGTAGCCGCAGACCAACACCGTCGTCGCCCAATTGATTGACCACCGCCGTTGCCGTACCCGCTTGCCGTCTTGGTATATGTGCACGCACACACACACACACACACACCCTGCGGGTATTTGACATGTGTGCACGCATACGCACAACCTGTGGCGAAACCATGCGCGACGAAGTAGTCGGCTGCTCTGCGAGAGATGGCGCGGGTTTGCAAGCCGGCGGGACGGGTTCTTCTTCTGGAGAACAGGTGGGTTTTGTGGCATGGCTTGGTCTGGCTGAGTCGGGAGGCCCCTCGAGAAGGGTAGGGACGGCAGAAACATCCAGCGCAAGAAACCGCTGCGTGATATCATGCGTTATGTCCAAGTCAAGCTAATGCCACCTACGCCTGGCATCTCTACCTCATTTGCTGACTAGTGTGCTAAATATTGGTTGTTTCCCCTCGTGTGGCACGCACGCACACACATCTATGCTATTTGGGGTGCTCGGCAGAGTATACTGTCTACGGGGCCTCCGGGGGATCCACGGATGGTATATGTTGATGGACATGCTGCACGGCGATGGTGTTGCCTACCGCATGTCTCTCACTCTCTAAGCAACAAGGTCTTGAGTCAACCTTCTTTCTCTTTCGGCCTCTGACGAGCTACCGCACCCAAACATACGCGTTCTTGATGTACAGCGTGTTTGCGTTTACCCCGCTACTGCTGTATACGGCTGTATCCGCTATAAAGACTGTCGCTTTTCATCGGTCAGCCGATTGGCTCGGTCGATGCTCATTGATTAAATACACCTCCGTGAGCAACCAACCCCTCTCCCGCCCTTAACCTCACGTTCACTCTCTGCAGCAAGAGTGACTTCGGTCCTCTGGCCGCGTACCAGGACCTCACGGCCTCGTTTTTGGTCAACAAGGGCGGCGCTAAGGGGTGCTTCTGGAACCAAGACGTGGAGGCGTTGTGCCGGGGGGCAGGGCTGGAGGTTGTGCGCTCGTCGCCAGCCCTTGCCGGGGGGTTGTTTCGCACTCTGGAGTGCGCGCCTGCGAAGGGTAGCTGATCCATGCCGTTGTCTAAAGCAACCCGTGGTGCTTACTTTTTTGGCTGCGTGCTTCACACGACGAGGTGTCATTGTTGATCGTTTTCATGGCACGGTACGATGCTGGTAGATTCACGGGATTGTATCGTGTGGTTTTGTAGTGTGCGTCAGGGTGGATGCTTGCCAGTCTAAAACATGTCCAACAATCGTTGCGCATGTATGTGTAGCAGAAATGTTGCGTTGGGTTCTGGCTTGCTCGTTACATTTTTTGTGCTGTTGTGGAAACCAGGATATAGGTATCTTCCACACATTCGACCGGCAAGGATCGTGGGACTACATGAACCTGTTCTAGGTCCGAAGACAATTGCCAGGAAAGAACATATTATGTGGATCTTTCCTGGCAATTAACTTTGTGCCATAGAGTAGGTTCATGTAGTCCGACGATCCTTGCCGGTCGCATGTGTGGCTTTACCTCTAGAAAGATACCTATATCCTGGTTTCCACACTGACTGTATTTCGTTTTTTACTGTGTTCACAATCCAGTAAGAACTGTGATAAGTATTTTCACCCCAGGAAGAACAAGATGGATCGTTACAAAATCCCGTTTGTGGTTCTGAGCGCGAATTTGTAGAGGCCCTCCAGTGCTGTGTTGAAATGTACGCGCGAACACTCACTGCTGCGGTGTTGTGCTGTACGATGACGCTTCGAGGTCACATCCTTGACGTGTTTATCCAACATTCATCTCAACGTCGATCTGTGAACCCTTAGGCCTACTCCCCCCGCTTACCTCCTCCTCGAATATGTTCACCAAAAACACTTGGATCGCATGCATGCACCGCTGGAAGGATCAGGCCACACCAGGGAACACGAACAGAAGACAAACTGAATCAGGTCATCCCGGTCTCTCTTATCTGCGGATAGAGATGAACTCGTTTGTGTTTCTGTAAGAAATGTAAGAACAAATATGACAATCGTTTTCACAAGTACACCCACCACACGTTGGGCGAATTGCTGGGTGTAGGTCGTTCCGTACGTAAATGCTGGCGAATTCCCCCAAAAGAGTTATTATCTGTTCAGGTGGCTAAACCGATACATAACGGCTTTAGTATCGGAACCCTTTCTTTTTGCAAGAGTTGAAGGCGTTGCCGCTGGCGGAGTCCCCGCTGTCAGCTTTCGCGTTGTCAGCAACACAAACGACGCGGAGCTTCGTACTTGTTTTTACGTGAAAGACTAGTCTACGGTATACATATGCACACCAGGTTTGTGCTTTCTAATTGAGCGCGTTGTTTTGATTCTTGTGTTGTTATTGGTTGGAAAGGCAACAACAAGCTGTAGACTATGCATATGTAGACTAGAGTCACTAAAAAGGATTTTTTTTTAGCAGTGGCCAAAATCGGGTGCACCCGGTCCAAACACGGCCATAATCGGGTACCCATACAAGACGCTGCTGGGAGCGACGCATGACACCATCTGATTGGCCGACGCCCACTCCTACCCGACCTTGACCGTCTTCCACCGGGTGCACCCGATCTTGGCTACTCACCCCCCGGAGGGGTACCCGGTTTTTCTTTCCCCTACCCGAAAATGATCGGGCTGTTCGGCCAAAACCCATGCCCACTATCACGGGTCGGACGCACACCACTGGCCCTCGTTTGTCGCCAATAATGAGAAAGTAGCGGGAGAGAGAGAATATGTCTATTTTTGAGATGAGAAGGGTGTCGTTTTGCTTTCAGTTTCGTTTCGTGTCGTTTGCCGTTTCAAAACGCGGAGCAACACATCGACCACTCGACGAAAAGACCAAGAAAAAGGACGGGCGCACAACCCAGACTACTTGGGGTCTTGGGGTGATATACACCTCAGAATACTTTGAATGCCTGAGATACAGACGGACCTACATCGACATTGGCGCGCGATAGGCCGGGGCATATTTGGTAACCATCGGCCGCACCCTCGTGTGCACAGAGGAAGATGGCCGTCCTAATGGCCAAATGCGAGAGGCTTCGGCAGGCTTACTCGGATTACAAGGTAAGACGCAGCAGTAGTCTAATAGGTCAGAATTCAAACGAACCTGCTCTCTCGTATATTGCCTCTTCTTTCTTCGAAGCGGCAGCGGTAGACGCACGAGCCAGACGATGGTTGATGTTGACAGTAATTATTGACGCCAGCGACACGGTAGTTTTCTGCAACCTGCATCAGGCACCTACCTACAGTATACCTCCGCATCGCTATTGTTGGTTCAGGGCTACTGCTGCTGTGGGCCGAGGTTGCACTGTACACTAGGCTACATGTAAACCAACATGCGGTCGTACAAACTGTAGGGCTAGGCTGCATGCACGTGGCGCAGGAGTGATCAGCAAATGCACGGGTAGGTGACATGGGCAAGCCCCAAGCACGGGCTGCACGAAAGCTTGGGCAAGGTCTGAGTATTGAAACTTGTACGACCGACAACCCACTAGTTTAGTACACGCATTTATCAACGGACAACAGCAACCTGTGAGTACATGTGTTTCTGACCGAGGCTGAGCCCTCGCGTCCGGCCATTTCAGCATCTCTCGACGGACAACTTGTCTTTCGTGGCGGGATTGCGAGGCCGGCCTGTCCCCGCCCCGGGTGCGGACCTCGGGCGGTGCAAGGTTCGCCGGCGCCCCAAGCCCGATGATGTCCCCAAGAGTGAAGACGACGAGGTAAGTCAATGTATTCTCCTGCGCAGTAGTCTGGCTCAGCGTTATACCCTCAAATTCAATGCAGAACGAGTGTTCAAGCGTGTTAGGTGCAGAGACTCTCCTCTGTCGCAACGTCGTTGAGTGTATGTAAGTTCGACACAACGATCGAAGCCGGCGTGCGTTTTGTAGTAGAACAACCTAGATCACCAAAATGTATATGTAGTCTACGGGGGGAGTTTTATTTACATAACACCGAAGTCCAACTATAGATGACGTCTATTCGTGTCCACCGCTACGTACTTGAGCAAGTTCTACTTCTATGTAGGTCTACCCTTGAAACAAGTTGGCACGATATGAACGGATGCCAGATTCGTTGACCCCAACGCCAGATGTCATAGCTTGTGGAATACCCAGATCACGAATCGAACCCACTCGGATCGATTGAGTGCTTGTTGCTGTAGCTGGAATGTTCACGTTGGCTTCGCTTCTTCTTCGAACAACATTGTCGTTCTTGTATGGATCTTACCTTGCGCTCTCTCCTCTTTCTACAACAGAAAGTCGAGGAGGACGATGATAGCTCTCTGGAAAGCCAGGGTGCGAAACAAGCCTGCCCGAGCCGCTCTTGCGCCCCTAGAGTAGATAAGCTGGAGGCTATGACGGAAAAGAGGGTGGCGGCACAAACAGCCCGGCAAAAGGCGCAGTCGAGGCTGGTGAGGTGCTGTACTCCAAAGTGTGTCGGACGCTTGGAGTAATTGTGCGCGTGATCTCTTTGATGCCAGTGATGTTGCGCATACACTTGCACTATTGCTTACAGCCTGTTTTTCTTCAGAGAAAATCTCGGTGTAGTTCTTGAGACTTTGCTTCCGTAGAAACGGTAAATGCGATTTGAATCCACCACCTGCGCTGCTGGATCCCTAGACCAACGCCACCGACGCACACATACGAGAACCCTCGTACCATGGTGGTTGATGACATCAATTAGATGGGAGTCATGACGAGAGTGAGGTCGCTATTCACAACCACGACGAGGGCATGTATTTCTGGTAATGGCGATTCCTTCTTAGAAAATGTACATAACAACACGAAAAGACTACCCGTTCCAGACATAACCACAGCAGTCGAAAGGGATGTATGTGCTGGAGTGTTTTCAGTGAGTGGAGGGAATCCGGCTAGATACTGGGCTTATTTTGAGTGTGTTTAAGACTACATTCCTATCTGAGTTATGCCAGTGATACCAGCTGGTGCTAAGCAATGGCGATTCCTTCTTGATGGGAATTCGTCTCTTTGGCTTCAGGGGTCGGCGCGCGAGAGGTCCCAGGAGGCAGAGACCAAGCTGGAAGAGGCCAAGGCAGAACTGGTACGCATGACCAAGGCCATCGCAGAGGTGAGAAGCTGAGCGTCAACAGAAGAAGATGATGCACAAACGCATGTCCTGACACTCCTTTCCCTGCTAAACGCCCCCCCGCCCCCGATGATGGTCGGTGAACAACACCGAAAGACAGTACAACCAAAAGAAAATATCTCGCTCGAAAACATACTTAAAAACGATTATCCGGGACTATCTTTCATGAGGCCTTCTCTCCGCGGTAGCTGGGGTAGAAAGAGACTCCGTCTCGGAACGATTGGCTCAAGCACCCCTATGTTATGGTGCTTGAGCGTAGACATGTGATCGTGGTTGACCATGGTTATTTGGCGCCGTCGGATGCTAAGACGTGACGTCATGCTAGATAAGGGCTTTATGCCGAGGCATGTGACCTTCTGTTCAGTGTCCGTGCAGACGATCCCTGATCGTGTGTGCGTGGGATATTGTGAGTTGGCTTGGAAAGCGTTACTCAAGAGAAAGAGAACCACGGAAAGCAACAACAACCTGCACCTGTGGTCGGACAAGAGAAGTTCCACACAGCATAAAGGTGATTGATTCTGAAGGAAGGGGTCAAATACCATTACACGCATAGATACGTTCCCTACACCCCCCGGCCGCCCTCCGCCCCCAAGAAAGGGTGCGCTGGCATTGACGATATTTCGCTCCATGGTGCCGTAACTGGAAGCAACAACCCCGACGATACCTCGCTAGTCTGCCTCTTTCCACTGGTGGTTCCGATCTTCTTGTACTCCCCACCGCATATCAATCGCCGTGTTACCCACCGTCGTCATCTTTGGGATGCTCGTCTGTCTGTCCTCGCTGCGCAGGGTGACGAGAGAACGGAAGCTCTTCAGGACACGCTGCGCAACGAAGGATCGATCAACAAGGCCGTCGCGGAAGAGCTGGATATGTTGCTCGTGGTGTGTAAAAAAAGCAGAATGAAAAGAAACGTCCCCACTACTTTCAGCTGCGAGCGAGCCTCGGCAGCTGCCAAACAAGACCCATACAGTAGTACAACGACAAATCTTTTGTCACAAACGCGCACGGTGGGGACCTACCTAGCTCTTTCTTCATTGGGCGGGACCACCGCCAACCAGCCGTTCTCGACAGTGATACTTGGCAGAACCCTCCCTGCGCAAAAATTTGAAACCATGCGCCGCGAAGGGGTGTGTGTGAGCCCAGGATCGGAGGCAAGACCGTACAAGTAGAGGGCAGGTGGTAACTGCGAGCTAAGGTCACATACTTGTGCCCGGCGGCTTCGCGTGTTGTTTAGCGGCTTCTCTTTTGTTTACTCCGGCTCTCCTTGACTGACGCTCTCTCCTGAGACATTCTCTCTCTGTCTCTGCAGGAGGCGATGAATCTGCGGAGGGAGTTTGTCGTTGACACCCTGCCGCCTAGGCCCACCACCGTGATCGTTCCCGTCGACGAGGGGGAAGAGGACAATGATGCTCCCAGCTACCAAGAGGACGGGTAAGCCCGCCGCGGGGTGCTTCACCCGGCGCCCGGCCGCCGCCTTTTGTCAGGAGGTCCGACCCGTACATATCGAGGAGGCATTGAGTCCGCGCTACAACAGAAGCCTACAGCGTCATTTGTTATTTCGATGAGAAAAACGCTGAGTGCCACGAAAGACTCTTTTCACGTCACATTCAAAAGAACTAAAACACTTTCAGCAACCTTTCCCATCAAGCCCACACGTATGCACACCCTTTATTTACTACAACGCAGGAGATCCCTCGAGTCTCCCGTCATAGCACCCGGACAACAGCTCCTGGCGAGAGATGGCGGTGGCAAGGGCGTCGGCAGCGGCGGCGGCGGTGGCGGCCCCCACGACGGCAGCAGGGAGTGGATCCACAGCGGGCGGCTCGCGCACACGGGGATTTTCGTCCGCCCCCCAAGGCCAAAAAGCCGCGGCGGCGGCGGCGGCGGCGGCGGCGGCGGCGGCGGTAGCGGCAACAGAAACCCTCCCTCCTCTCCGCAGGAAAGCAGCAGCGACCAGCAGAGAAACAGCGGCGACAGCAGCAGCAGTGGCAGCCGTTCGGGCCTGCTGGAGGCGGCGGCGGCGGCGGCGGCGGACGCGGCAACGGGTCGCGACGGCGGTGAGGGGGTTGGGGTTGAGGCGGAGGCGGCGGCAGGTGACTACGGGGGTGGCAGCAAGGGCCGGTCCGAAGGGGAGGACGCCTGGTCGTGCTGCGGGAAGCCGGTCTTGAGCGCTGGCCGTGGGTGCGAGCCGCGGGAGCCGCTCGCAACGGTGAGAGACGTCGTGTTTTTTGTAATGTTCGCCAGCCGGAGCGTACGTGGTGTTTGTATTGCGCCGCATCTTTAGAGTCGCAGCTCGACGATGATGCACGGCCGCTCGCGGGGCCCGCTGACCAGGGATATGACAAAGGCGTTGGAGGGTCCGCGGAAAGGAGTGGAACGTTAATTCACCGGCTTTCCAAGTGCCTGTTACGCTTATGGTACATGGGACCACGCCTGAGACCTGGATGTTCCCACTCTCTTCGTGGGAAGCAACCAATCAACAGCAAAATGAAAAACACAAACTCTTGAAAAAAAGAGCCAAGCGGCAACCTTTCGTTCGGTTCCCAGTAATACCGTTGCAGCGAGAGCAACAATAGCGGCTCTGCTTGCAGCGACAGCCCTGGGTCGAAGTGCCAAGCTTAATTTCGTGGCACTCTACTTGCGTGCCTACCACTGCCGCCGCTGCCGTCGGCCCAAGCGGACGCTTGGATACTTACCTTTTCGAACATCGTTACTTTGTTTTTCCGTCGTTGGAGCAAAACAAATAGTGGTTGATTGTGTTCAATAGTCTAGAAGCGGACACCAAACCATTACACTATAATAGTCAGCGCTGCCTAGTAAAATGGTTTGATTTCGGTTTCTATCGTTCGTTTGTGCTGCAACACACCAAGATCATCTCCACGTATGCCGAACAAAATGTTATCGAGTGCCATGCTGGCCTCTCTCGTAACGCTTGCCTCCCACTCTCCCGTTTGCGTCGGGCGTGGGTGCGACAGCCGGAAGACCTGCTCCTTGATACGATCGATCCGAGGTCGAGGTTGGGCCAGCCGTTGGACTTTCGGGACTTCCTCCCCCAGATAGCTTGGTTGGGGCTGTCGCCAGACCCGGGTAAGCTCATTTTTTGTTTCTTGCGCGCCCGCACCGTCCATCTGACATCCACCGTCGAAGTAGCTACATAGCTCGTCTACCCTGTGATAATCAAGGGCGGGGCAACCACGCCCGAAAAGCAACAAAGCACAGTACCTATTCCAGACTAAGCGGCGACGCTTCAGTAGTACTGATTGTCGGGCTGTTGTAATAGACATTCCTACATTGGGCCATGCCGCCTGGCTGGCACCCCTACCCTTCACCCCACAGATGTCCAAGGCCCGCCCCGTCGACTGAATCATTTCCCATTTTCGCCTGGTCGTGAAGAGTGCCTTTCACCCACCGCGGGCGGACTCTTGCCAGAAACAACGCTTGGATGAGCCGATCTCCTCCCCCGTAGAACTTCATCAAAGCGCAAAGCAAAACGTTTGTTTGATTTCTCCATCAATCTCGCGCGGTGTGCCGTGGTCTGGTGCTGATGTTGCCTTGCGTTCACGACGAAACCCTATTCATCAGTGCGCCCTCTGCCCGGAAGCCCGGGCGACGGCACCCTCCGCCCCCACACCGCCCCGGAAAGGCTGACGGACGCTGCCGGGCAGTGGAGCCCTCAAGGGTGGGCAGGAGGGGACGCGAATAGAGAGTACGACCGACGAGCATCTAGGAGTAGAAACGGGGGGCTAGTGGGGGGGGTGTGGGCGAGCGGAGGAAGGAGGAGGCGTGGGCCGGGGGGGGGGTTGGGGGTAGCGCATCCCCCCTCCCTGGACAGCGGCGTCAACACCTGGTGGAAGAACAAAACGCCCCACCAGCGGGGCGGCCGCGGTGGCGGCGGTGGCGGCGGAGGCGGCGGCGCCAACGGAAGGGGTTCGAGGACGGAGGCAGGAGAGGCGCCTCTTCTTCCGAAGCGGCACGCGTTTCTCCGCCGATCCCATCCCACCGCTACGACGGCGACGTACGCGTCGTCTCGCTCGGGCACTACCCGCAACAACGGCGACGCGCGGACGGGCGGCGGCGGGGAAAGCACTTCTACCGCCGCCGCTGCTGCTGCTCGTGCCGCAGCGTCAGCCGCGGGCGTTGATGAGTTTTGGCCAAGGACTCAGATTCTGGGGATGAACGGGGGTAGGTTGCCGACAAGAGTGAGGCAGGTGCCAATCGACAGGCCGCTCACCGCGCCCTGCGGGAAGGTCGGGCGGCGGAGAGTGCGGACACGCGGCGGCAACAAGGGGGGCGCCAACAGACCTTGAGAGAAGAAGGAAGAGCACCTGTCAATCCTTGGTACCATAGACAATGTGGTACATACCATAGACTACATGTACGAGGTTCAGGAAAACTCGGGTGTGGGTCCGATGGTACAGTAGTGCACAGCCCTTACTATTTTAGTCTAAAGTTCGCGAGATAGGCACGCTTAGCTGGTACCACGTAATAGATGTTGCGTGTTATCTACGAACGTGCGAGACAGGCTAGACGTATTTATTTGTGGTCGGTTACGATCCACGAACGATGCGAGGTTCCACAGTAGTATAGGAAATGCGCTTGCTTGTGATAACGGCTAACTAGAACGGTTGTGTCAAAGCAACGGCAGCAAGATGGCGAGCTATTGACTACGTACCGGCCGGTTCGGCGTGCGAAAACGAGTGGTTCTGCGAGACGACGAAGTGAATGTCACCAGACTCAGGACAAACGCATCATTTTCTGCCCTACCCATTTACTACTACTTACTGTAACTAACGTTTCATTTCTCGACTTTTGGTGAGACTTGTGGTGCGCTCTCTCCGACCCGTCTGGCCCTGTCACTACCAAAACTAATTTTACCAGCTCGGCTTGAGGATAGTCCCACGATATAGGCCTGAAATGTACCAACACACACCTCGATGCATGTGTGGCCATCTGATTTTTAGCGCGAGATTCAACCAGTGTGGTGAATGGCGGTACGTACGGAGACAACACGTGATTTCTGGGTGCCAGTTGGACCGGCACGGACATTATTAGGTACTGACCGGAGACCGGACCGGTTTTAATCTGAAAAACAACAACAACAACAACCTCAACAAACGGTACGATACAAGACATATGGGGAGTGGGAGCCCCTAATGGGAAACGCATGACGATCTTTAGGCCACGTAAGGTACCCCACCCCCTTGGACCGATCTTCAAGCTCGAATAATAAAAACACACACAAGATGTACTAGTATCATACACCAAGCGATATATTCCCGTAAAGCTCTCCACGACGGTTTACGGTTGTCATTTTTCGGCACCATCGGTGCTGTTATTATGCGGAGCGTACACAAACAGCAGTAGTTGTCGCTTTGAAAGTCGGTCCATGGATTGGGGTTTGGCATCTTGATGCGACCCTTCCTTATTATTGTTGTCATGATATATGCAAGCACGCACAGACCTCAACCATCGGTGTAGCACAGCCTCACACCTCACACCCGGACGCATAGTTTTCTCGAAGTTATCGCACCCTAATGCCACCACTGCGAGGGAGTGGCGCCATCAGTCGCAGTCTTACGGCCGTGCACAACCTTCAAGTTACAACAGGAGGTGGCAACAACGCAGGAAATGGAAGTGTATGTCAACGGCCCGCCCGTCAAAGACCCGCAGCGCGGTCTGTATCTAGAGCTAACTTGGCGCACGAAAATCCCACCAAAATACGAGCCTTAGACTAGATCCAGCTCTGTTGGATAATCGAATCCGGGCTCCCTTTTCCAGCACCCCCCCGACGAACCGCTCGCTGGTATTGTACTCTCGTGACCACGGGCTGAGAGTCTTTGCTAGATTTTGGCATTTAGCAATTGGCATACGGTTTAATGTGAAGACAACAACAACAACAACAACAACAATTGTTGAATGCCAAAAATGGTTGGATCTGATATATATTTAAGGAATGTAATAAAAACACACAGAAAGACTACATTTTTTTTTTTTCTTAATATATATGACACCACGAAACCATCTCCATCATAGAAAAGAGTCTACATTTTCTACGTTCTTTATTGTTGTGAGGTTCTCCATAGAAACGACAAGTGACGGCTTGTGCATCGTCGGAATGCCAAACAGGCACCGTGCTGGCTGCAGAGACGCCAGACGTCAGCCTGCACCACTGGTTCGCCGCACCTCGCTCTTCGTTCTGGGTGCCCTACGAAGCATGGAAGTGCGACAACGCAGAAGAACCTGCCCGCCGAGTAACGCCGACAAGCTCTAATACTTCTCCTGATAGACGTGAGAGACAGCGTGTCCGGTTCCATCAAAGGGCAGCCACAGCAGCAGCAGTCAACACAAAACAAAATTCACACACTCGTCTTGTTCGACCCTTTGCTGCGTATACGCTTGGAGGGAGGGCTCTCGTCGGGTAAGCCATGCTACCGTACAGCCCAGGAAACCGCGGCGGCGGCGGCGGCGGCGGCGGCAACGACCCCTGCAGCATCATCAAAAGCGTCAGCAGCAGCAAGAGGGGAGGGTGCGGCTGCTGCCGAACGGTGAACCTGGTGAGCCGACGAACCTTTGTGTTTGTCTTCGCGGCTGGGCTTCTCGGAGCCGCGCTCGTGCTCCTCCTCTCGGCCGGCGACCGCGACAGATCCTCTTCGCTCTCGTCGTCGTTGCCGTCGACCTCAGCGACGACTGGCTTCAAGGCAACGATCCCGCCGGGATCGCAGCAGCAGAGCGACCTGCAGGAGCTCCGAGGCGGCGGCGGCGGCGACACCTCCCCATCATCAAACACGGAAACGAGCGGAGGAATAGCGGAAGAGGAGGAGGAGGGAGAGGGGGGCGACAAGCCCAAGATCACGGTGAGACAGGCGGAGGGCCGAGGCGCTGGGGGGGGCAAGGTGTCCGTCTTCGTCTACGACGGCGTGCCCGAGCTGGACCACTCGTGGCTGGTGCCGTGCTACCGACAAGTTCGCGATGGCGTCTCCCCGTGGCAGGACGAGAGAGCGGACATGGCGCAGGACATGGGGGAAATATGGCTGCACCGGTACGCAAACCCCACCCCTCCCTAATACTGCTGTTTGATCCGGCTGGTGGGTGCTTCTTCTGTGCTCACAGATGGGTGTTGTTCCCTACGCGCCAGGGGGGCACACATGTAGCGTTTGCCGTGCCTGCGTTTAATTTTTAACACGTCTGCTGGTGTGGTTAGAAACAACAACACACGCTGCTTGTTGCGGTGCTGGCTCTCGGCATGAACAACACCAGTTCTGTTTGGCAGGTGCACGTTACAATAGATGCGGCGATTACTTTCTAGAGGCGCATCAGGCTCCGGCTGGGAGTATTGCATGTACAGCCGGTTTCCCTCCACTCACTGAAAAGACTCCACCAGATCCCGTTCGACTGTGGGTATATCTCGAATGGGTAGTCTTTCTGTGTGTGTTTTTATTATTCCTTGATGTACAGGCGGCGTAGAGGCACCGCTTGGACAGGGTGAATGAAGTACTGCCCTCCCGGGTTTTTGTCATTTGACCTCTTTTTTTATTTAACTAGTCCACAGAGTGGTGGCTACGGTTTACCAGCAATCCTTTTCAATAGAAAGTAGGAGTTGCGATACTGTACATTCGAGATAAATAATTTTCCATAATCCAGCGATTCTCCCCTCTTGTGGATAACAGGCACCACAAGACAGTTTAGTGGCCATCTTGTGCATCGGACTATATGTTGTGCTTTTCTAATATGATTCTCGAATGAGCGGCCTCCGAACGGTCGTGTGAACAAGAACGTGCTGGTGCTCTATTGGTCGTGGCCCCGATAAAAAGAAGGTCGACGGAATGTTTGCCACACCACCCTCGAATCTCGGACCCAAGACTGCTTGTACCATGGGTACTCTTGTGTTAGGTCTCGCCACCAACCAGTCTCCACCCGGTTGTTTTCTCTCTTGCAACGACCAACACCGAACGATCTTGTTGAGCCTATTACCCAGCGGGGAGATGCCGTATCGCTGTATGCTGCACGGGTAACCGTAGAAGCACAGTATATAGTGCTTTACGCTAACGCTATGGATTCATTACTGATCTATCCCGAACGGACTCTTTTAAGTATATCTGTGGAAGAGATGGAGATGTGTTCTTGTAAGTACGAAAAATAACAAGATACGATTCTCTGTCGAAAATGCTAAGTTTGTAACTTCGGATTGTCTCTCAAGTCTGGTTTGTAAGCACAGGTGTCCAACGGACAGCGGTACTTTGCTGCAACACAAGATACGATCCTCTGTCGAAAATGCAAAGTTTGCAACTTCGGGTAGTCTCTCAAGCCTGGTTTGTAAGCACAGGTATCCAACGGACAGCGGTACTTTGCTGCATGCACGAAATGGGGCGGTGGGTAGCTCGAGTCCCTTACATAACCCCGCTTGTGTACCCCCCGGCTTTGCTGCGGGGAAAGCCCCAACCACACCACGATGGATTGAGGAAAAGCATGCAGTTAGTTGGACCAGCCCGGATGCATTAGAAGGTAATGAGCGGAGACCAGAACGAGTTTTAATGTGAAGCTGACAACAACAATGCAGCAGCCCATGCACGCACCCTTGTCCCCTGCCCCCCTCCCCCGCCCCGGTTCGCCCCCCCCCCCCCAACAACATCAAATGACACTGGCAAGAGAAGGTAGTACAGTACCTGGGATAGTCTGTTCGCCAGAGAATGAGCACCGCGCTGGGTGAGACCGTATGTAGCTACGTGTGGCAGGTCCACGAGAGAGATGTCAAGAATGAGAGCAGCTCGGTGGGTTTCAGGACTGATAGACTCTTTCCCACCCGCTCACCACCACCACCCCCTGTTTTCTCTCTTGCACTTGGTGTTTTAGCGCAATGCTCGCTCACCCGTGGAGAGTAGCCAACCCGGAGGAAGCCGACCTGTTCTACGTGCCCATGTATCCGGTGCTGAGCACGAAGCTGGGCAACAACAGGTCAGAGGTTTTTACTCCTGTATGCGCATTTTGTGGGATTCTAAATGTCTAGGTTGTCTCCTTTTTTCGTGTCTTGTTTGTCATCTCAGGGTACGCGAGAAGTTTCATCCAGCGCACATACAGCAGTAGTCATGCAGGTTTTTCGAAGTAAGCAAACATACTGGATACAGTATAGAACAGGCTAGGTTGGGGTTAGGGTTAGGATTGGTATGCGTGCCCCCAGCCTGGTCTATTTTCGTAATAAACTTACTTTCTTTGCGTAGGCAATCCCGCACATACCTAGGTACCCCCCGCCGAAGTGCCGAACATTTTTTCGGTTATTTTGCTCCTCTTGGGGCGTGCTCAAAGCCCGCTTCGCTCAAGCCGCTTACGGGGGACGACACATGGTGTGCTAATACTAGTCTAGTGTCATAGCGACGAACGTTACACGCATGCTTTGAGCGGGACAGGTGCTGTCGATGCAAACGTATCCGTTGTGTGTGATGATTGCTTTGCTTGAGGGTACTGATATCCTTCCCCGATGTTTTCGCTTTACTCTTTCATGGCAGCTCCGTTTGGAGGGGGAGAGAGCCCCCGCCCTCCCAGTCAGTGTCCGTTTTGTCCCGCTTTCGTTTTCGGAAAGCCCTCAAACGACAAGTATCTAACGCCGCCGTTTCGACACTATCATATCGATCATCCTGGTGTATACTTCGTAGTAATGAAGCTTTGAAAATCCGTCCATGGGGGGGGGGGGGTGTACTCAATAGTCGTGCATGCCGTAGTCGTTTGACCATTGACCTCGCATCCCTACAAAGACGGGACGGAGCACTCCGGGTTCTCACCGGACCAGGCTCTCACATCACCAAGCGCGAAGCACCGTGAGGTATTCGGCGAGTCGCATGAAGGGTGCGCTGCAACCTGCTAAGTGTGTTCGGCATCCGGTCCATGGGGGGGTGTACTCATAGTCGTGCAAGCCGTAGTCGTTTGACCATTGACCTCGCATCCCTACAAAGCCGGGACGGAGCACGCCGGGTTCTCACCGGACCAGGCTCTCACATCATGGACCGGGGGGGGTGATTTTTTTCGTTATGTCACCTACGGTATTTGTCGCGACTCTGCTGTCCACGGTCGAGAGTCTTCGAACCCGCAGACCTTTCCTGATCATAAGCCGTTGTGTAAGTATAGGGGGCGAGACCCCTCCTCCGGGTTGGCATTTTTAGAGTGTAACAACAACAACAACGGTTCCTGTGTAAAGGGTGGTTCTCTGTCTTCTTAATAAATGGTCTGAGGCGGAATACAACAGATCGCCAAGGATGAGGCCGGTGCAAACCCTGACACGGATGGGAAGCTGTGTCTCCATAGTTATTGTATGAAAAATATATTCATAGTAGCACTAAAACTCTTCCCGAACACAAACCTATCTTCGGTGGCAGGTGCGGGGGCAAGACGCACGACGAGCTCATCAACACCTCTGTCGAGTACCTCGCCTTGTCCAGCGTCTACTTCCGCCGCTTCGGCGGCGCCGACCACACGCTTGTGTGCGCTTGGTGGAACTGCAAGTCGGCGCTGGGGCCGAAGCCCCGGATGCTACTGCGCCGCACGGTCGTCGGGATCAACGAGAAGATGCTTGAGTGGACCAGGTGCGCGCGCGGGCGGCGGAGTCTGGCTCTCATTCTGTTTACCGGTGGGGGGGGGGGGGGGATCCTTGATATGAATGCTTTTTGGCTGTTAAACCCAAATGGGGGGGGAGGGGGCTAGAGCTGGGCAGGATATATCCTTGATGTGAGTGCCTCACTCTTATTGGCTGCTACATGTAGCCGCACGATGGTGTGGGGGGGTAAAGCTGGGCGGGGGATCCTTGATATGAACGCCTCACTTTTTTTTCTTTATTGCCTCGAGACTGGTGTGGGGGCCCGACGAGCTGTTTTTTGTCGGTAACCGGGGTTGTAGCGTCACCCACACCTACGTACGGGGCACGCCGTGCGTTGGTTGTTGGATTCCTACAAGTAGAGAGAACGGTTTGGCCAAGTCGATCGGTATTGGAGGAGCCTCGTGGTAATTTACTAACCAATCGCGTTATTGCCCCGCAACGTGTCGCCCCGCAACGACAGGTGGGGGTGCGGGTTGGACAAGATGGTCACCATCCCCTACACGGCGAGCAGCGTCCTCACCACCAGCGAGATGATCGGGGGGCGCGCGGCTGAGGACCGAGATATACCCTTCTTTTTCGTGGGCACGGCCCGGGGTCGCCCGGAGCGCCAAAACTTGGACGTGAGTCATCACATCATCATCGCGAGAAAGGAAGACTCACGCACCGATGTGACGCTAGATATCAGACCCCCAGGGCCGATTTTCTTCAACAAAAGCTCGATTACTCCCACCACGAAGAGGATGCGTTAATCCGACGATATGTTTTTGGAAAAGCGCTTGAACGAAACGAGACACTGTCATTTTCGGTGCCGTCATTTCTTTCTGCTGTGGAGTACTCGAGGGTTGAAAATCGGTCCAGAGGGTGTAATGTCTTACGTCATGCCACCTGCGGTAGGTTCCTCCCGCCCTTCGGGTCTCTTCTGGTTGTATCTGGTCTCGAAATAGGACTGAGGGTAAGTATTAAAGTACGTTCGAAAAATACTGCTGTGTCTTCTCTGATATGCTGATGGAAGAAGACTGGGGGGCGCAACTCAGTCTCGTACGGGCGTTCCAATGTTGCTTTTTGCAGAACAAATATGTGACTATTCTTCTTGTATTTTTCTTGGCGTCTTTTGGACGGTGTGATAGTGAACCTGCCATGATACCCCCGATGCGTTGGTCATATACGCACAGTAATCGTGGTGTCGATATACGAGGGTGGTGTGACAGAGATCCTCGACCCTCTTATATCTCGGAGCCCCCCTCTTGCACCGGAATAAGAGGGTACCCATCCTCGACCCCCTTATATCGGAGCCCCCTCTTGGAATACAAGAGGGTACCCAACTACACGACATGTACAGCAGGACGAGTCCGTGACAACCTGTTTCGGCCCTCCTATACATATAAGAACCCCCTCTTACTCGGCGGTACTCTTATATATCGGAGCCACGACCGTACGTTCGATTCTAACGGATCTTTGCATCGTTGGCGTGCCGAATTTCCTTCAGGTGGTGACGGGCATGGCGGAGGGCAGTGTCATGATGCTCGGCGATCATCAATCGGACTGGGGCATGAACTCGACGCAGTACGCAGCACACATTGCCCGCAGCAGGTGCGACTGCTGCTGCGACTGCTGCTGCTGCTGCTGCTGAAGCGTGGATGTGAAGAACATGCGTATTTTGGTAGAACCCTACTGTAGCCGTGTACTTCTTGTTTGGTGTACACGTGTGGTATTTTTTTTTTTTTTTTACCACTTAGAACGTCAAGAGTCGCGTTGTCTGCGATAGCACGCATTCATTCGACGCCAGCGTATGAAGAATGAAGAGCCTGCAATGGTTTCGCGTTGTGAACACTGCTGTCTTCCGTGCTGTACAGCAGTTCGATCGCCCTCTTGTGTTCTCCTTAACATAAGGTACCTTTTTGTTGTTGTTTGTTCACCGTAATAAGGCCCAGCTATAATATAACTACGCAGCACGGAACACGACATAGCAGCATAAGTAGGTGCCGTATGTGACACAAGATGCCACACCCCCGCAACCGTTTTTCACAAACACGAATACTCCACAGCAGATATAGTGGCGGTGGCTAAAATGGTGGCGATGAAATTGCCTCGTTGAGATCTTTTCGATTGGCTATCGTTTGGTGTTGGCATCCTCTTCGTCGTGGATGGGTGGAGCTTTGGAAATGGGTTTGAGAGGGGTGTGGTATATTGCGTCATGTCACATACGGTACTTTTATTAGATCGAAAGAATGCTGAAATCAGACCGTCGTCGTCTACAACAACAACCTCCACCCACTGTAAAGGCTTCAACACGTCCCCTTGGACTACTATTGTTGAGGTATTTTCTCGAACAGGTAGTAAATCTGTTTCTGCTGCATGATGTGTTTTATCGAGAAGAAGAAGAGGAGACGATTTATCGAACTTGAACTGACGGATGCTTCCGTCGATCGACATCCCCTTCGACTGTGGTGTTATCTCGAACCGGCAATCTGTCTACGTTTGTTTATTTTCTAAAGAACCAAGAAGAAATGTGCTACTTGTAGTGAAACTCGAACCTACGGGTGCTTCGGTCGGTCGATCGAGCAGGTTCTGCTTCTGCCCCAGGGGGGACACGGAATCGAGCCGCCGCATCTTCGACGCCGTTGCCGCGGGCTGTACGCCGATCGTCACGGAGGCTTCGGTCGCCGTCCTGCCGTTCTCCGAGTGAGTGCTTTCTTGACACGGGGGATATCCTGTTGGTGTTTGGGGGGGGGGGGGGGGGGGTGATCCCTGTAACCAAGGCTC